TATTTTGGCAGAAAAAATGCATGGAGACGTTAAATAGATTACCATTTACTGTGGTTGTGCCTTTGTTTGGAGCTATTTCTGTTAAAGCAGCAAAAACAGATAATATGTGTCTATAATTTATGCTACTATTTTCTTGTGTATGGAATTGATATAAAATCAAAATAAATATCACATTTACAAAAATAGCCCTCTAGCGCTTCAGACACTGTGCATCAATCGAGATCCAAAAGGAATTAAATAATAGGCTAATCCAATTTCAAGAGAGAGAGAATAAAGGATGTACAATTGTAAAATTGATGTAAATTATCAGTGGAACATAAGTCAATATTAAAATACTGAATTGGGTTTGTCTGTGAAGGGAGGAGCTACTGGAGGAATTTATTCACACTCGCTGCAGTGTTTCACTAAACCACTTCACTACAGACCGACAGCTTCATTAGACTTTTTCAAGAGTTCCAGCACCTGATTATTATAACATTTTTGTTGGGAAAAAATTTTTTCAGAGAAATGCTGAAGAAAATGTTTATTTTCATTTGTTTGTGCCCGTGGAGTCTGGCAGGTAAGTATTTTTATGGTTTCTGTTCTTTTTCTATTTTCATTTCTTCACCTGCACATCATTCTGTTCTTTATTGTTTCCATCATTAATTTTGTCTTTAATATTTTACCTTTTCCATCACAAGATCCCCTTAATGGCAAAAACTCCAAATATGGTGAATCTTTTGTAAATATTTCTGTTAGTAAACATTTCTGTTTGTTCTTCAGGTGTGTTTGGTGTTGATGAAGTGAAGTCAGTGTCTGTGATGGAGGGAGATTCTGTCACTCTGAACATCAGTGATGCTGATATAATGGGAGATGAACTGATAATGTGGAGATTTGGACACAGCAGTATCATAGCTAAAATCAACAGAAAGGACAATAAGAGACAGCTTCTTGATGAGAGATTCAGAGACAGACTGCAGCTGGATCAGACTGGATCTCTGAGCATCACAAACACCAGAACCACAGACTCTGGATTTTATCAAGTCACCAGCACCAGAACAGAGACACCACTCAACACATTCAATATCACTGTCTATGGTGAGTGGAGAATTACATCTAATAATCACTGTAGTATTTATTAAAAATATTATAAAAAGATTCTGTGATGATGCACAAGTGATATGTGTATCAATTTATGCATTCTTATGCAATATATATATATATATATATATATATGACCCTGGACCACAAAAGCAGTCTTAAGTCGCTGGGGTATATTTGCAGCAATAGCCAAAAATACATTGTATGGGTCAAAATTATTGATCTTTCTTTTATGCCAAAAATCATTAGGATATTAAGTAAAGATCATGTTCCATGAAGATATTTTGTAAATTTCCTACTGTAAATATATCAAAACTTAATGTTTGATTAGTAATATGCATTGCTAAGAACTTCATTTGAACAACTTTAAAGATGATTTTCTCAATATTTAGATTTTTAAAGATTCTGTGATGATGCACAAGTGATATGTGTATCAATTTATGCATTCTTATGCAATATATATATATATATATATATATATGACCCTGGACCACAAAAGCAGTCTTAAGTCGCTGGGGTATATTTGCAGCAATAGCCAAAAATACATTGTATGGGTCAAAATTATTGATCTTTCTTTTATGCCAAAAATCATTAGGATATTAAATAAAGATCATGTTCCATGAAGATATTTTGTAAATTTCCTATTGTAAATATATCAAAACTTAATTTTTGATTAGTAATATGCATTGCTAAGGACTTCATTTGGACAACTTTAAAGGCGATTTTCTCAATATTTAGTTTTTTTGCACCCTCAGATTCCAGATCTCGGCCAAATATTGTCCTATCCTAACAAACCATATATCAATGGAAAGCTTATTTATTCAGCTTTCAGCTGATGTATAAATCTCAATAATAAAAAAAAGACTTTTATGACTGGTTTTGTGGTCCAGGGTCACATATATAGAAAATATTATATATATTTTAAAAAATTTATTAATAAAACTGGACCCTCTAACAATAGCATTCTCTTTTTCTATTCTATCAACTTTCATTCTAAAAATTTATTTTATTTTTATTATTAAAAAAAAGATAAGTCTACTGCATTAGACTAACCAAGACTTGTCACAGCACTTACATATTATTGATCTTTTTGTTACTTTGATCGCTTCAATTGTCCTCATTTGTAAGTCACTTTGGATAAAAGCATTACAGACTCAATTTAATGTAAATGGAAAAAAATATCATTTTATTAAAAATAACAATAGTTTTTAGTGCTTTAAATTACCGGTATTTTAAAATAGCAATGAACTGACAAATATCACTGCCCTTATGTTTATTCAATATTTTGCAGCTTGTCTACCTGTTCCTCTCATCAGCAGAGACTGTTCATCATCATCATCATCATCATCATCTTCATCATATTATTCATTGGTGTGTTTAGTGTTGAATGTGAGTCATGTGACTCTCTCCTGGTACAAAGGAAACAGTTTATTGTCCAGCATCAGTGTGTCTGATCTCAGCATCAGTCTCTCTCTACCTCTGGAGGTGGAATATCAGGATAACAACACCTACAGCTGTGTGCTCAACAGTCTCACCAGTAACCAGACTCAACACCTCAACATTACTCAACTCTGTCACACACATTTAGGTTTGTCAGTGGCATTGTATTTTTCTACATAGTACATTAATCAAATGTATATGTTTTATGTTGCTAATTTCTTTTCTTATAAGATTGTATCCACTGCTGTGGTTCTACTAAAGCTGTGATCCGATTGGCTCTCTCTGCTCTGGTGGGCGTGGCTACTGTTGCTGTGCTGGTTTATGACATCAGATCCAGAAGTCTTCAACAGAGTTAATATAATTAATGAAAACATTTAATTTAAGTGATTAATTTTATGTAATGTAAATGCTCCTTTAAGATTAGCTTTCCATTTTTCACTTCTATTGTGTTTGTATATCACTTTTTACATTACAAATCATTATGCTTTACAATGAATAGTGATTTAACCCAATGTGATTAATCAGACAACGAATAAATGAAAAAACTTATTTTTTTTGTATTCTGTTGCTTTGTTGTAAAATTATCTCTACATTTGTGGATATCTGGATAAAGGCTTTAGGTTGGTGTCTGTCGGTACAGTATGAATGATAAATATTCTCCAGATGGAGGCATGAAATAGCAATGGCAATTTGCATTTCACGAGTTCACATGTACATATAATAAACAGAGTAAAGGTTATGTATATTTGACGTGCTGTCCGGGAAGAGGGCTGGGGAACGGTCTCAACAGACCCTTAGTAGCAACACCCTGTTAAATTAGGTATCCTGAGGATACATAGGTAGAGTGGTGCCCAAGGTTGAACCAGGGCCTAACCGTCTCAAAGAAAGGGCACGAAGCCGCAGCGTGTAGCCCCTACCATACATGATTTTAGAAAGAACGCAAAATGCTTGATGTGCGAACTTACCACAGTGTGGATTTTAGAAAGTTCACAGGGACTTCGCGTGCTCACTTACCATATCATGAATTTTAAAGATATCGTTCTAAGCGGCCCTCGTGGCACTCTGAAGGAGCAGTCCATAGATAGAAATGGCGCATCCCAAGAACAATACATCCATTACCGCGGGAAGTAGGGGTGCTGGGGGTGCTACAGCACCCCCTGGAGTGTAGCCCACGAAAAAATGGGGGTGCTGGGGGTGCGGTGTTAAAAATAAATGAACAATATGTAATACAAAATAAATAATATTCATTTTATTAATTAGTATATTCATTAAAATTCATTGAAAAAAGTAGCCTAAGCTTACAATGACAAGAAGCAACGGTTAAATATGAGTTAAGTTGAATCAAATTGACTGTGAAAGTCGTTTCAACTGATTAAACGTATTAAACTGACTTAAAAAAATCATTTGTTGCCATGATTTTTGGATTATATTATAACCTGTAACATGTCTCTGCCATTCCCAAATTAAGAATCAACAACAATTTCTAAACAGACAGCAGAGAAAGAGTGAGAGCGTCTTCCTCAGCAGCAACTAATCTCGCATTCTCACATCTGTAGCACTTATTCTGATCTTTAACGTTAGGGCTTTCCTATTTTTGAAACAAAATTAATTCTTAAGGTTGATTCAATATTACTCTTAATGAAAAACACACACACACACACACACAACATCAACAATGCTACAATGACAAAGTCGCTTATATTAAACATAAAACTGAGATCAGTGGCGTAGCGTCTGGTTAAGCAACGAGGGAACGAATAGAGCCCTGCACGGCCCTTGTCCAACAGCTTTATGAGAATTCTCGCCCGAGTCCGACTGGATCCCGTGACTTTTTTCTCTCTCTTCCCCATTACACAGCTATTAAAATAGTTAAGTTTTGGTTTTTAATGGCAAAGTGGTCATATTGTCATATTTTTTCTTTATTAAGTTAATTTAGAAATATGTTTGGAACATTTTATGTTTGTTAAATTCAAGTTTTTGTTTTTTAAAGGAACGACCAAGCGGCAGCAGCAGACAGTAAGTTGAGCATTATGTTTGATCAATTTAGCCTTCTCAAACCAACACGACTTGTCTAAAATAAACAGACATAAAACACTTCATGCATTTCACAGTATTAATTTAAACATTTAACCAAGATAAACGAGCGCTGTTAGGCGCATATCCAATCGCTTGTGTGGAGAGTGGAAGCTAAAGCGCGCTTTGCAGGACATGGAGGCGCCAGCGCCATCACTTGCTTTTTTTTTAAGAACAGCGGAAACTTAAAAATACGCCGTCATTTTTGCTCGTAAAGTTAATAGTATACATCATTCGGAACTGCAAAGGGTCTACTTGTATTTGTGCACTTGCACTCACAATATCAACAAAACCTTGTGCTTTTGTAAAATAAGGAAAACAAACAGGATGCGCTTTCTGTCCTCTTGTCATGTCATAATATTTTAAGAATAAAATTAAAATTAAGATAATAAAATCATGTTATATAATGTGAAAATTCCACCCACAGGCCTGATCCTCCAAAAAAAAAAAAAGTCTGTGGCATCCGTTATTCTTTTGGCTTTTTTTAAACTCTGATTGATGATTCATGAGACATTCATTTGTATTAAGTTGTTCTGATTTTTTTCAACATGCATTCAAATATTCATGTTTATTTCGTGCTGCAAATATTAAAGAAGAACATA